CAGAATCCTGTCAGTCCCTGCTTACTCATCCCTGTCTCCTCCCCTTTTCCTTCCATTCCAGGTCCCAAGTGTGGTGCCGGGAGAACCAGTCCAGTCCAGGCAGCTGGGGACCTTTGGTGACCATCTTGCACATCCATAAATCACGAGGGAGCGTTCCGGCTGCTCTTACTGGTGTGTGGAACACACGGTGTCCATCGAGTCCCGTAACTGCCCCTCTGCCTGAAGTAGCTTCTTGGGTGTAGAGACCACATTCCCTTAGACATCCAGAACGTGAAGCAGGAGATGGTGAGTTCTGTGGAGAGCTGGTATGTTTGTGCCGTAAGTGGGTGGGGCTGGGTGTGAAATACTGGGGAACCTGTGAAGCGCTGTAGGACTGTGGTTCCTTAGTGAGAAAGAAGGCAACCCAGGAGGCCAAGGCACTGGACCCTACAAGCAATCCCAAGATGGTTCATCCACAGTCACTGGGCCCTTCTTTGTACCTAGGTAGGTCTTTTTTAAAAGCTTTTATTGTGAATTGAGTGATAGTTTACATGGGAGTTTTGCACTCAACCTACACTATTCGTTTCATTGCAATGATCAAAATCCCCTCCATGCACCATCAGTTAACAGTATTTGCCTCTATTCCCTTTTTTTTTTTTTAATGTACACAAAAACACTCAGGAATATATAGTCATTTAAACAATCAAAGGACACATTCAGTCAGCCTGCCTCCTGGCCGCCAGCACCCAGTCCCTCTCATTCCATGAGTCCTCGGCTGCTCCCTCTCTCCATGTGCTCATCTCTGCCTCCATCTCTGGGGTCGCTGCTTCTCTGGATAGGGTCCTACATCCCGCTTGTGCTCCTCTCCCTTGATGGTCCTAGGGGCCTCTGTTTCTGGCCTGTAAGATTTTGCCCTTGAGCTTTGAATACCCCTGGGCAGAACATGAGGGGAAGGCAATGATAGACGACACCGGTCCATACACAGTTGTGCAGCAATAATGTACAAACGGATACAGACAGAAAACACTAGAATGACTGTGGCTGACTTCTTTCCTCTGATCTCTTTGCTTGTAAATTTGTGCAGCTGAAGCAAAACTGTGGCTCACTGGCAGTTGCCACTCTCTGTTCTGGGACTGTAAGGTTAACTACTCACCCTCTTTGGACTCACATCTCCTCCTGTGTAGCTTTATAGAATTGGAAACCGCCTATCTCCTTCCTTCTGTGACTCTCAGAGCTGGCACCGTGGGGCATTGCCACACGCACCCTGGGCCTTGGTGCTCTGTGTTGGATGAGAGTGTCCCCACCACAACAGGAAGACGGGGCGGCGGCTCTGGGAGCCTGAGATGCGGCCCTCCAGCCTCAGCCTTGTTCCGTCTTTCCAACAGTTTTCTAGACTTCCCCGAGCCACTGGAGCATTGTCTGAAAGTAAACCCCCCTCTCACCTTGTGTTGTGGCTAGAAAGGGACAGAGGGTCTGTAGGTGAAGGCCCTGGGTGGCTATGGTATGACCCAGTGTGGGCTCTCCAGCCCGGGTGTCCCCTCTGCGCTTGGGAATCCCTTTATCTGGAAGTTTTCAGGTGTGTGGAAAGCATGAATATCCATCTATCTTCTAGTCCTCCCACATGGGACTGGTGCTGGTATTTAATCCCTGTAATGTGGTGCTGGAGGGTCAGCAGTGGACCACGAGGTCAGCAGTTCAAACTCACCAGCTGTTCCTTGGAAACCCTATGTTGTTGTTGTTGTTGTGTGCCATGGAGTCAGTTCCGACTCATAGCGGTCCTGTACAAGGTTTCCAAGACTATAAATCTCTATGGGAGCAAAGCACGTCATCTTTTTCCGTAGAGCAGCTTGTAGTTTCGAACTGCTGACCTTAAGGTTCACAGCCCGATTCGTAACCACTATGCTACCAGAGCTCGGAAACCCTATACAGGGTTGCTATGTGTTGGAACCGACTCGGTGACACCTAACAACAACAACAAAAATAATTCAATTGCTTGGGATTGTATGGGTGTGCATTGGAAAAAGTGATCAGTCTATGGAGGGCATACTGTCTGCCTTTTCACGTCTTTCAATCTTTTTGGTTTAATATTATTATATAATTTTTTTCAGTAGGATCTTTAATTTTCTTAATTAGACTACTTTTAGGTATCTTTTGTTTTTATTGAAAGAATGTTATCTTTTAAATATCAATTTCTCAACTACTTGGTACTGATGCATGTAAATGAAATATTAAAGTAAAACATCTTGCTAATTGTTTTGTTGTCTGAATACTTGTACTTTCTGTCCGTTTGTCCTACTGTGGCTTGCGTGTTGCTGTGACTCTGGAAGCCGTGACACTGGTATTCCAAATCCCAGCAAAATCAGCCATGGTGGGCGGGTCTCAGCGGAGCTTCCAGACTAGGAAGAGGGAGTCAGAGCACTTCTGAAAGGTCAGCCACTAAAAACCTTATTATTAGGACATATGGTGTTGTTGAGTGTCGTTGAGTTGGTTCAGACTCAGCAACCCTGTATAGGGTTTCCAAGGAGCGGCTGGTGGGTTTGAACTGTTGCCCTTGTGGTTCCCAGTCTAGTGCTGATCATACAGTACCACGCCAGGCGCCCAGTAGGACATACAGTTATTTAATCTCTAAAATGACATGGTGTGGGGGCTCTTCCCACCCCCATTTATCATCCTGGTTTCTTTATTTTGTTTTTGGCATGTTTCAGTCACAGCCTTTTCGATACTGTTGAAAAATAGTGGAATGATAGATACCCGTTTTCTATCTGCTTTCACCAGGAAAAGGTCGAATCTTTCAGTAAGTGTGTTCTTGAGGAAAGTCCTGGTGTGCTGCTCCAGGGTCAGTACAGGACTACTAACCACAAGGCTGGCGGTTCAAACCCCCCAACTGCACCTTGGAAACCCTACAGAGAGTTCTGTAAGTCAGAACTCAGTCATGTTCGCTAGGGTATGTGCTCTGTGTAGCCGGTCTTCAGATTGTACCTGTGTCTTTCCATTGCTGAATTTGAGCGGTGTGTTCACAAAGATGCAGACTACGTGGTAAACGTGCACTGTCGTGATGGCTGAAATGTTACGTCTGTACTATGGAGCTCAGTTGCTCCGGACATGCCCTGTCATGTAAGAGTTTTCACCCTAGCCTGTTGAAATCATCAGCTCAACAGTCAGGAGAGCTTTTATTTATCCATGTATCACCCATATGTTGTTTTTGTCAGGAGCCATCCAATGGCTTCCAACTCGGGAGTCCTGTGTACAACAAACAGAAAGAGGTGTGGACCAGCTTCACGGTGGTGCCTGTGTTTGAGCCCATGGTTTTAGTCATTGCATCCGTTCATCTTGTTGAGAGTCTCCCGCTTTCCCAGTGACCCTCACCAGGAAAGCCCTTCTCCAGGGCACGCTGCCTCCTCATGACCTGTGCAGAGTAGAAGCCGTGAACTCTCGCCATTGTCGCGTCTAAGGAGCACTTGGGCCACCCTTGTCCCAGCGTGTGCTCACTCACTCCCGCTCCAGGGTATCCATCTCTAAATCAACACATTCTCTCTCTCTCATGGTTTTTAGGTTGTAAACAAATACAAGACTATTTCTGTAGTTTTTCATTTGTCAAATCCTTTAGTTTAAATTCACATTAGGAAAAATCTTTTATAGGATAATTCATTTGAATTACTCAGCACCTAAAGGTAGTTTATGCTCATAGGTTCTTAATCTGGAGTGATTCTCTGTAGC